ATTGTCATTGGCTATCTTTCTCCGTATCTCTACGTTACATCTTTCTTCTCTCTCGTGTAACGAAATTTGCCAAAATATGACGGGTCGTTCAAAAACTCCCCATTCTCGTTCAAATATCAGATCGCCGCCTAAGAAGTTTCACTTCAAAAAAAAAATAATGTGCAGCATACTCTATGGCATCGTACACGTGTTAAGAAGTGGAACTTCTTTAAAACTTTTCCCTCCTTCATATAAGTTTTAGACTTAGCGTATGAGTCGGGGTAAAGACGAAGGACCACACAAAAGGTAGACGCGCATCTGTAGTGACGTCACAATGGTATTGGCGATTAAGAATAACAGGCGATCCTCTATACTTAGAATCCTTGGTTTGTGTCAATCAATGGCTGTCTTTCTCCGTCTCTCTACCTTATATCTTTCTTCTCTCTTGTGTAACGGAATAGGCTTAAACGTGACGTTACGTGATGCGTCAGCGTCTTTGAAATCTCTCTTCATTTTCATCCAAATATCAGACCGTCGCCTAAGAAGCTTCACTTCAGAAACTAAATTTAATCAAAGATTAGTTTTATGTAGGTATGGGGCTGAAACATGGAGAATAATACTAAGGTCTTTGAGAACATTTAAAAGGGACAGAATCAGAAAGGATTTGATAAATGAAAGAATATTGAACTTCGTGTCTCATGGTAGCCCATGGAAGGTCTGAGTTACAAACCGCAATATTCTGGTAAACGTGAAAAGATCGACTCGTTATATACATAAACAATGAAATTATTATTCATCTGTTGTGTTGGAGACCTCAGAATAAATTGAAAATATATGGGTAACGACTGATGAGGTACTGGAACTCACAACAAAAGAAATTTCACTATGGCGAAAACAAATCGAAACCAGCAAAAAATTCGGGAGTGCACGTGCAGCTTCTCTGGCAACAGAAATAAGACTAACATGTTTAATACTTGATGTACTGTGAAATGGAGACAAATAGCTCACGTTATTAAAAAATAATTGCGACTGTCTCATGGTAAACGCGTCTAATGGTGGCCCACCCTCCCCTACCTATCTCTATTTACCTTATGAGCGAATTATGGAAATCTTTCCTTGTCTAAAAAATATGATATTTGAGGTTAGGAAGGAATATACCAAACCTAACAGCAATGAATTAGAGAGAGAAAAGTACTATTCCCCACTATATAAATATCTTTGGACACCCTAAGAAAGAGACAAATGCCATATCCGAGAACGGTCGGTTCCATTTTAGGTACGCGTAGTTTATAGATAATTGCCATTAAATCGGATGCGCAGTCATCTAAGCACATTTCTTCCTCACATATCTCTGACTCAAAACCTACTTTGATATTTTTTAGAAAGACCAAACATATTCGGTTTGGAATATATTCATCTCTGTCTAGCGAATGTGAACGATGAAGAATATAGCCATAAATATGAAGCAATCAATGCCTATTTTGATGTTTTTGAAACATTAGAGAGAAAAGAAAACAATGAATCAGGCACAGATCGCAACATTAAATATAATTTTATTTATTGTGATCCGGGTCCCAGTTCTGATGCAACGCCTACTTTGATGTTTCACAAAGATAAGACATATTCGCTATGAGATATAGTCATGTTTGTCTAGCACATTTAAAACGATAAAGATATAAAGAATTGGATGCATTTAAAGCCTACTTGGATGTTTATAAAAAAACAAAATCATGAGAGGTCTGTTCTCACAAGAGTCTCTGACAGTTTGCAAACTATCAGAAAGCATCGTCCATTTAAGTTTTCAATGCCGTCGTTTCAAGATAAATCGATAACGTAAGAGAAGTTTGCAAACTGTCAGAGATTCTTGTGAGAACAGACCTGAAGAATAAAGCAATATAGTCTGGCTATAGCCAAACGGCGAACTCCAAAAGAATTTGCTGCTTTGCCAAACTTGACGGAAACAATGATAAACAAGTCGGTGACATATTTTTTTTGCTGTGTGGGCATGTGTCGTATTCCGAAATAGAAAAAAATCCGACAACATCGCGAAATGATGGATGTGGAGAGGCGTGATTATTCACAGGCATGATTCTATTGGTTAGAGTCTGAACGACAGCACACAGTGACGTGGTTATTGACGAAATTAGAGAATTTTTTTCTAATAATTTTATTAGTTTATTTCCTTGGTGTTTCCGGTGCCACTGAACCGAAAGACATGGCTGTCATCAGGCGGTGTCAGTTGAGGTGTCAGTGGATATTTTTAGGTTACGCCCCAGTTTTCTTCCCCCTTTCGTTTCTACCAAGTTACCACTTGCCAAACTATAGGTACTTTTAATTTTTTTTTGGAATGTATTAATTTATCGTTTTTGTCTATGGCATTTGAAATGAGAGAGAGAAGAGAAGGCACTAAACTAGGAACAGAACGCATTAAATAAAAATATATTTCAGTGACCGCTTATCATTGGGTCGAGTTCGTTTTTGTCATTTTTTTCGCCGATTTGCGCCGAAATTTTGACAGGCACGTGACTGGATAAGACAGTTTCAAATCACGTGCTTGTCAAAATTTCGGAGAAAATCGGCGAAAAAAATGACAAAAACGAACTCGGCCATTCAACAGTATTTTCATTACGATAAATTTAAAATAGAATTATTCTCCTTGTTATCCGGTGCCACTTGCATAATGCAAAATGCAAGGCCTGCTTTGATGTTCCTAACAAAGACAAGACAAATTCGCTAGGAAATATATTCATCTTTGTCTAGCACATTTGAAACAACAACGAGAATAAGATTTAATGCACTTAAAGCCTACTTAGATGTCTATAAAAAAGATCAAATATATTCAGTCTAAAAATATATTTATCTCTGTCTAGCGTACATGTGAAACGATGAAGAAGTGCTGAATAACAGAAGTTCTGCAACAGCAAGATACAAATGCAGGACCTGCAAGTTTGACTTTTTGTATTGCAGAAGCAGAAAGCATTTGCAAGTAGCCTGCAAAGACCAGACTACTATGCATAGTGAGTAGATTCGTCGCTGTGTAGCTCCTACTTTTAACAGTATTTGAAGTGCTAAAAACATCGTATTAAATTCTGATTTTCACCCTTATTAGTCATTTAGTAGCTGGCTATTGGTTGTTGCGTTTTTGTGATTCCTACGTAACTCATTTTGTGTAATATTTAATGTTCTGAATAAATATTCAAGTGTATTCAACTGAGTGAACGATAGTCCACCAGATTGATAGAATGTGCGAGTGAAAATATAGCAAGTGGTACTCGACTTGGTTCTGCAAATGATGCTACTGAAGAGCTTATAAATAAAATATGCAATAATTTTGTCGTCAAACTTGAAGCATCTATTGAACAAAAAATGAATAAGCTTGATGAAAAATTGACAGAAATCAATAACTCTATTGCATATTTGAACAAGGATATGAAATCCAATAGAGAGTCGATAACTGTGCTTGATAATAAAATGGATTCTTTGGAGCAACTATCGAGAAACCGGTCTCTGAGATTTATTGGAGTTGAGTTTACAACGAACGAAAATCTATATGATAAAGTTTTGAATATAATTTGATGTATTTATTATATTAGAAGACATTTAATTCAGGTACCCTCTATGACTACTCTATAGTCCTTTTCCCAAATAATGGTTCGGTTCGGCATCAAATAAATGTAGTTTTATTATATTGTCTAAACCTTTCTGTTAAAAACCCAAGCAAAAAGGATGTGAATTATATTTATTATGTGGTAAACCCTATCGACTATTCGAGAACCAAATTACATATTGCTTGTGATTGTAAATAAAAACATTGTTCAGCGTCAACCCCCAAACTTCCTAAGTATCCTGAATGGTCATTCTTTGATGTATAATAATGTATATATTGCCGACATTCATTTAGGGTTTTTCCAAATAAGATAACATAAAGTAGGTGTAAGAAACCTTTTTAGAAGGGATGTACAAGGAGATTTGGAGAAGAGAGTTCAGTCATGAGACAACTTTCAGTTATGAGACAACTGTCAGTCAGGAGACAGCTTTGGTCATAGATACACATTTTTGTGAGACTCTCTCCTCAAACAACTGAGTATCGTTTTGTATTAAAAAGTATTTCAAAAAAGAAGTTATACGATACGGTATTGTTTCATTACGGTCGGTATTGTGATCATAACATGAATTTTTGTAATCACTACACTAATTTAATTCCGAAATTCTTTGCACGAAGGACGTCCATCATCATTTCTTTCAAATATTGTCCTACAGATTCATCATTTTTCTGTTTACTTATTGACAGACAGTAACGGGACAAATATTTCGTTTCTAGGCTTGATATAAATAATTATGGCTTAGAATTGATATTACATTTTCATTTTCATATGCTGCATATTGTGATGTGAAATATATTTATAAGTTGAATGACTCACGTGAGCAATGAAAAGTTTCAACTTATTTTCAAATGTCCTCATTTTTAATCTGATGAGTGGGGCTTGTTCGGATTCAGGAATCTGCCCATTTTTTTCTCTCTTGTTGGAAAAATTGTAATATAAAAGTTCAGCAACCTTCAGAAATAAAAATAAAGCTATGTAGTAGTATTTCAGCACTTCAATAGGTAACTAGAAGACATATGGATCTTTGCCTGTTCAAGAATTTTGAATTTTAATTTTTCTATGCAGCTGACTATAGATAGTTAAATTTCATCTCATAGGAACGATAATAAGTATGCACATCAAGCAAGTCGAACTTCTTAAAAGTGATATTATACCATATTATGTCTTTATTTCATTACATTGTAGCTGAGATTCAACAAATAATTACCTACGTACGTGTCACTAATGTAGCTTTCATATTTTTTTCCCGCCAAAAAAAAAAAATATTCATAATTACTTATAGATGCCAAAAAGTTACTTCCAAGATCCTGGATCGATTTATATAGTTTTTTAGTGTTTAATGTCGGTCGACTGCAAATTTTCTTTAGCCGCCTCCTGGTGCACATCAGGCACGGCACAGCAGGGAATTGTCAGTAGTGTTGTTATGGGTCGTCCGTCGGCGGCTCAGTCACTCTCAGTCGTCTTTGTGCGTCCGCAACGATGAGGCGGCATTTAACGGACGTCCACGCCGGCGGCGTCGACGTCGGCTACGTCGCGACGAAGTGCTTCTTCTTAACTGTCATCGTCACTTTTTTTGGTTGTCACGTGACTTCTGGTCTTCAGACGCTACCAGATACTGGAGGTATCAACGGTCAACTTACCGCCAATCATTCCGTCGATCATTTCTTTTCGCTTTGGCTGGTTTTTATCAATGATGATGTCAAAATATCAGGTAACTATTTGTTTTTTTTTTTTCAAATAGGTAGATATTGATGATATTTCAAAAAAAAAAAAAACAACCATATTATTATAATGTAACACGCAGTTGAACTACTGTCAACAAGTTAGCTCGGGTTAGAAAATTGCTACTTTTAAATAAACAAAGTATGGAACTTAACACTACTTATATTTTTCTTTCCTGTTCAAAAACAAGTTATTATTATTAATGATTATTCTCGGTAATCAAATTAACTATAACTGTAAACAATAGGTGCTTGTTGGCCTAATTGATTCAAGTTTCAAGTTCACATTGATGATTTGCATAATTCTTTTCATATACATATACTTTATCTATATATGAATTTTTGTGAATTCTAATTCTTCAAATGGGTTGACATTTTTATATAAATAAGATACAAAATATCATAAATTCAAAAATTTGTATCCTATAACTTTTTGGTATCTTGTCACTTGTATCCTATCATCACTTGTCTCTCGTCATTTGTCACTTTCTTCCATCTTGTTTAGGTTAGTTACTGTATCTTGCGCCCCTTGTGCCCAATGGACACAAATAAATGTTAGAAACTTCACTAAATCCAACATTGCTTCGTTAACAATCAAATTGCCAATCTGTCAATTGGTAAAACCCAAAGTCTACATAGGTATACACACATTCCATTTATTTATTCGGATTCGCCAAATGGTTTTTTTGCGACAGCTGTTAAATAACAATGGCACTATTAATACCCCCTCAGTGTTGTATATAAACGATCATTTTATTGCCCGTGTCGCTCGCGATAATAAATTAGGCAGTTTTGATGATAAATAAATTATAGGAGACGCGACGACGACGGAGCATTTTTGAAAAGTTCGCTCGGCGCGAGCGAAACAAATGGCCGTACCGTGAAAGAAATATGAAACGGAGTCGATGGAACGTTATACGGGATTACGATTTTTTTTTTTTTAGTAGGTGACATGACTGATACTTTTATGGGGATTTTACGGAGCAGATGCAGATGACGTTCGAGTTTTCGAATTTTGAATTACGATGGTCTTTTAAAGTTTTTGAATCGTTCACGTAGTTTATGAGGCTTTTTTGATGTTTTGGTTATAGAATTTGTTGCCAGTCCTGTCTTCATACTTTGTCATTTTTATTGAGTTTTTTCCTTTGATGGTATTTATACAGATGATTGGGCAATTTAACACTTATACAGGCTCACCGTGACTGCTGCAGTGAGAACTGTAGTAAATAAACCTTTCTAAATTGAGACTTTCATTTGCAAAACTCAAAGGTATTACTAGTAGCTGTCATTAGATACAGGTGATAATGGAATGCATTAGAAATAACATCACATTCTCCCCCAGTCTAGTTTTTGACATAATCTGAGAAATGCTTTGGCTAAGTTCGGCTTCTAGAAGATCTGCGTGGTTGATCTTGTAAATCTTCAGATTTTCTATTTTCCTGATTTATCAATTCTTGGTCTTGATTAGAGTCAGATGCAATTTCTGGTTGTAATTCATGGTCTTGATTTAAGTGTGCCAATTCTTCATTTTGATTAAGATATCTCGCAGCCACCGGTGATAAGAGTTTCCCAGTGTCTGGTAGCATAGATTGACTAGATTCTGAAAAATCATTAGTGATTGGGCACACAGGATCCGCTTTATTGTATACTCAGTAGAATTTTGAATATCGCTAAGTTCCGAAGGTGCATCTAGACGTTTTATATCTCCTTTGAGTGCCAAATGTTTTACAGAAATAGTGGTTTGCTTCCCATTTTTGTGTCTAATTAAAGCATAGTCTGGATTAACCTCTAAGAGTTCAACCTCTTCTACCAAAGGATCGAATTTCCTACGTCGTACATGTTTCTGAAGCAAAACAAAATCTTCGTTGCAGTACGAAGCAAAGATCTAATGGAGTGTAAGGCATCTGGTTATACAAATTCCCTTTGCGTAGTTTTCAATTTCCTAGATATGAGTGCAAGGCTAATAGATTTCCATATAATACCATTATATCGTTCAATTTGTCCGTTTCCTTCCGGATTATACGGTGTAGTTCTACTAGAAGCTATCCCACGAGAATGTAAATATGTATTCAGTAAGTTCCTTTGAATAAATGCTGATCCACGATCCGAATGTATATAAGCTGATATTCCAAATAATGAAAACAGATAATTTAAGCATTCTATAACAGTAGAAGCTGATGTATCTTTACAAGGAAAAGCAAAAGGGAATCTTGAAAATTCATCTACTATAGTCAGCATGTATTCATTTTTAGTATGAGAACTTAGAAGTGGTCCTTTAAAATCAATATTGAGCCTCTAAAAAGGTGATATTGCTTTTATTAAATGAGCTCCAACATTCTTACAAAATCACATACAAGACAACTCAACGTCATTCTTTTTACTTCTTCCAATGAGTAAGGTAAATTTTTAACTTTGACAAAATGTTACATTCCTGTTATTCCAGGGTGACATAAGTTTTTATGTAATTCAAATAAATTTGTATCATTTGAAACTGAACCGCAAATCTTTGAGAAAGTATCAGCTGCAACATTTGATTTTCCCGGGCGATAGATTATATCATAACTATAACAAGAAATCTCCAATCTCCATCTCATGCTAGAATGTTGCTGCGAATCAAACATGAACGACACCAATTTTTGATCTGTAACAAGCTAGAAATGTCTCCCAATTAAAAAATAACGTTATTTACGTAGTGCTTCTACACAAGCGTATGCTTCTTTTTCCACAGCGGAATGCTTCTAATACCTAATGGTTCTCAAAAAAATCCAACAGGTCTTCCTGACTGGCTTAATGTAGCGTCAATAGCAAAATCCGATGCATCAGTTTCAACGATTGAAGTTTCATCTTCATCTATAGAACAAAGAAGGGAATTTGCTATGTCTGTTTTGAGCTGTTCAAAATCCTGTTTGACTTCGTTTGTTATGGGAAAAGTTTTACCTCGAATAATGTGAGGTCTATAAACCTAGCAGTCCCAAGATGGAAAAAAACTTCGGGAACTATATAATAATTAGGTGCTTTTTAGGTGCTAATTAGGGCCTCTAATTAAAAATTAGGTGCTCCTTTAGTTTTTGAGAAAATCAAAAAAAACTAAGGGACTGCTAGGTTTATGAAAGCTAGAAGTCCCCTATAATAAAAAATATTTTTCCAAAATTTTCTTTTGTATCAAAATTAGGTGCTTTTTAGGTGCTCCTAAATAGTCGAAGAAAAGATAGAATTGATTAATTATTAACTGAGTTACAGATTTTTTTTTAATTATTAGGGGACTGCTGGCTTTACATTTACTTGTTGGTGTGTCAGAATGGCAAAAAAACTTCGGGATCTATATAATAATTAGGTGCTTTTTAGGTGTTAATTAGGGCCTCTAATCAAAAATCAGGTGCTCCTCTAGTTTTTGAGAAAATCAAAAAAAAACTAAGGGTTTGCTAGGTTTATGAAAGCTAGAAGTCCCCTATAGTGAAAAATATTTTTCCAAAAATTTCTTTTGCATCAGAATTAGGTGCTTTTTAGGTGCTCCTAAATAGTCGAAGAAAAGATAGAATTGATTAATTATTAACTGAGTTACAGATTTTTTTTTAATTATTAGGGGACTGCTGGCTTTACATTTACTTGTTGGTGTGTCAGAATGGCAAAAAAACTTCGGGATCTTTATAATACTTAGGTGCTTTTTAGGTGCTAATTAGGGCCTCTAATCAAAAATCAGGTGCTCCTCAAGTTTTTGAGAAAATAAAAAAAAACTAAGGGATTGCTAGGTTTATGAAAGCTAGTAGTCCCCTTTTTAGATGCTCCTAAATAGTCGAACGAAAAATAGAATTCATTAATTATTAACTGAGTTACAGATTTTTTTTAATTATAAGGGGACTGCTGGCTTTACGTTTACATGTTGGTGTGTCAGAATGGCAAAAAAACTTCGGGATCTATATAATAATTAGGTACTTTTTAGGTGCTAATTAGGGCCTCTAATCAAAAATCAGGTGCTCCCCTAGTTTTTGAGAAAATCAAAAAAAACTAAGGGACTGCTAGGTTTATGAAAGCTAGAAGTCCCCTATAGTAAAAAATATTTTTCCAAAATTTTCTTTTGTATCAGAATTAGGTGCTCCTAAATAGTCGAAGAAAAGATAGAATTGATTAATTATTAACTGAGTTACAGATTTTTTTTTTAAATTATTAGGTGACTGCTGGCTTTACATTTACTTGTTGGTGTGTCAGAATGGCAAAAAAACTTCGGGATCTATATAATAATTAGGTGGTTTTTAGGTGCTAATTAGGGCCTCTAATTAAAAATTAGGTGCTCCTCTAGTTTTTGAGAGAATCAAAAAAAACTAAGAGATTGCTAGGTTTATGAAAGCTAGTAGTCTAGTAGATATGGGTAATCGCTCAAGCTATTGACTTCAAAATAAATATATAGCTACTTTTAAAAATAGTTTTGAATAAGATACTGAATTTTTTTCACATTTTTTTTCTACAAATCACGTACCCGGTCACTGGTCAGTCGCTAACCTCTTTGTTCCGAATTCAAGAAAATCTGGGGTCAGTGGCTAGCCCCCCTGTTCCATGTTCTACAGGTACCCAGTTAGGGCCATATTCTTCGTAGTTCATAAAGCCTGGCTTAGTGAAAAAGCTTGGCTTTGTCATACAAAAAGCCCAGCGTTTCCACTAAGCCAGGTTTTAGGAACTACGGTGAATATGGCCCTTAGGGTCCCAGTGCGACTTTTAAAATAAAAAACAAAAATGGCTAACTTACAATTGCATAAAAATTTAAAAAAAGAACCTCACTCAAAGCTAGATTGACGCAATTTAAAAACTTTGTAGATAAAATTACCTCTGATCCTGATGAGCATTCTGCTCAACCTGAGGCTCAGCCTAAAGAACTTGAACTGAGAATTTCAAAGGTAGAATCTGTTCTAGACTCGATTTATGAAATTCAAAGTCAAATTGAAATTATAATATGATATGAAGAAATTTTGGCCTTTGAAGATAATTATTTTAGTTG